CACAAACATGAGGGTGACAAAGGTAAGCGCATAATAGCCTTTTGTTTAGGGTCTCATCATTTTAGTCGTTTCTGTTGATATTTTTGATAATGTGACTATACTACTGCTGTTGTTTTTTTCTAGATTTAATGTATTGATTTATTGGTCACAACTATGTGTTATTCAGATACGTGCATATTAATATTCATACTATGAACGAATCGTGCAAATGTCTTAATATGCTTGAGATTATGTATATATTGTGCATAAGATCTTCAGACGTTATTTCTGTACACAATTAGGTTTAGGATATGTAGCCCATAGGATATATATATTTGTATCTATATACGTGCGCGCGCGCACCCACACACACGCGCACACACACACATATACACTCACTTACGTATATACACGCGCAAATACACATGGACACACGCTTACATACATGTATTCTCTCTCTCACACACACACTCATATATACATTTTTGTGTATGTGTCTGTGTCCACTTGCTTTGTCAGATACGGCTATCCTTGTTTTCGACAAAAATACATTGATTCAGCAAAAATAAGGTTCAAACACAAACATATATATATATATATGTGTGTGTGTGTGTGTTCATATTGCGGCTATGTCCTCTTGCTGAAGAGCCGTGGCATATTCTTAAAGGAACAAGTCGGGATAGCCCCAGTATGCTGATGCTAGAACCGACTGAAAGGAGCTGGCCCGGCCCGAATTACAAATCTTATGCCACCTTTCACCTTATGCCTCCTCTAATGTGACTGCCACGACGTAGACACACACATACAAGCATCACATACATACACATATACATATATATACACAGCATATGTGTGTGCATGTGCTTGTGTGTGTATATATATATATATATATATATATATATATATATATATATATATATGTATGTATGTATTATGTATATATAAATATATAGGATATATATGTAAATATAATATATATACATATATATATATATATATATATACAATACATTTATCGCACGCGCACGCGCGCGTGTGGGTGTGTGCGTGTGTATATATGTGCATGTGTGTGTGCGTGTGCGCATAACTACCTCATAATAACTTAACTCAAGATCTGAAAAAATAAATAATATGTGTATTTATACAAAATGTGAAATGCTACCAGGGACTCTGGCTGGCCCCAGGCTGAGCCGCTGCAGTACTTCCAAGACAAACACATGATTTCAGCCCCACTCCCGACCGCACACAAGCTGTTTCCACTATCTGGTTCGGTTCTTTCACTTTCTCCACATAATTCTTATAGCTTCTAGCGGTTCACCTTAAAGGTAAACAGTGCTCCGGGATTTACCAGTCGTTCACCAATTCCTTGCGTATAGCTTTAGGTGAATTTGGTTGTGTTTGCGTGTATGTAATGTATATGTGTGTGTCTATATATCTCTATATATACATATACATTCATGTATATAGTCATATATATGTATGTAAATGGATAGATACAGCTAGGTATATATATATATATATATATAAACAGACACACACATAAATATATATGACAAGCACCAAAGAAAACAGAACCAAACTATGACATCACGTGACTCAACGAAAATACTGGCTAACCAAAATCTAGCTTCATGGAAATTATCTACCTTCTCATGCTAGAATATAACAATGCTATCTTACAACCTCCGTCAGCAATGATTGATAAATTCTTCTCCAGGGCCAGCTTCCCGAGGTAATGTCTTTACTTGAAAGACCATTGCAATAAAACATTTTATATAGAAATCTAAATATCCCCCTGACAAGACAGTGAGCTGATAAGTAGTTACAATGAAGTTTAGTTTATTTTAGTGGTTTGGTTTTGCTGTCTCAGGTGCTTGCTATGTTTTGAAAGTGGGTTCGAATCCTTGCCAGAAAGGGCATTTAGATTACTTAAAGAGGATGATTTTCTCCATTGTTCCTTCATTCAGACAAAAATACCATCTGTAATCTTACAGCAAACTTTCTAATTCATTTCTACGGAAATTGGAAGTATGTTAGATTTTTTTTCAGAGATGTTTACCTTCCTATATGAAATACAGTAGTATATACTTGTGTGTGTATGTACACGTGTATTTATACATATATATGTATATAAATGTATGTGTACGTATGTGTGTGCGTTTATGTATGTATGGCTAAATGTGTGCATGTATACATATATATATATATATATATATATATATATATATATATATATATATATACACACATGTATGTGTGTGTGTAAAGGAAAACGTCCACAATAAGGAATGAAACACTATCGTTAAATTTCGGACTCTTCACGAGGTCCTCTTCAGATGAATAATTAACTGAAAATGGATAGACAGAGAAATTCTTGACAAGAATTTATAGTGGTTGAGAGACAGAATGAGCAAGAGCTGAATCAGATCTGAGGAAGAGGGTCAAGGTTGAAGACTCTGTGGAAGGTTCTACTAACTAACGTCAAGGTAAGATCTTCCAAGCGCAGCGCTCAAGTTAAAAT